GTGTGTGTGTGTGTGTGTGTGTGTGTGTGTGTGTGTGTGTGTGTGTGTGTTAGCGGATCAGAGGAGGTTGATGCTTTGTGCTGCTTGTTCCACTGAAGCCTTTTATCTGTAGCTTTGAGCCTCAGTGAGCTGCAGCTTGTGATGGTTCCGAGTTATTGAGGAAGTTAGCAGCATTGGAGCATGTGTCTGCAGCTTGTCAAAGATATAACACACACAGCTTTGTTTTTATATTCCTTTGAGGACTGTGGATTGACTTCCATTCGTTTTCTGGTACTTTTATAACCCAACTCTGACCATTTACACCTCAGTTCAATTCAGTTCAAAAAATGTATTCATTTCATCAAAAAATAACTATATAGAATAAAAACAAACAACGACATTACACAAATCACAAATCAAAATAAAATGATACATAGCAGAAGAAGAATAAATCTTATAATGTCTGCCCCTTTTATCCTCAGAACATATTCAAACAAAACATAATTTACAAAATAATACAAATAAAAATAAAAACATCAACTCAAACAACAACTCATATAGCTCATCATCTTACTTTTCCATACACCTTCAGAAAACTAGCTTTTATCTGTCTTTTAAATATATACATCGAGCATTTTTAAGATCATCCTCCAGACCGTTCCACAATCCCACCCTGGATTAAAGTACATTTCTTTCAAGCAAGTACGAAAATATGGCTTCACAAACATTTCCATCCACTTAAGATAATAACAACTGTCTCTCTTAACAAAATTTGCCTGAATGTTGGAAGGTAATACGTTTCTGTGAGCCTTGTACATAAACAGTAAAATATTAGTCAACCAAATCCTAGAATTTCAAAATTTTCAGTTTGAAAAATAATATATTTGATGGATGGTTGTAATGTTTTCTAGCAATAATTGTTATGGCTCTTTTCTGCAAAACAAAATTGGATTTGTAGTTGTTTTGCAAGCTATACCCCAGACTTCAATACAGTAAATTAAATGTGGAACAATTATTGAATTGTACAACACAAGGAGAGCTTTGTCATTGAATAACCTCACAGGTACCTACCTGACCCGAAAACTAACCTAAACTCAATTCACACCTTGGTCCTAAAGCCAACCCCCAACCCAAAATTAGCATCCCTACCCGTGGGAACCGGGCTTTGGTCCCAAGAATGCACATTCGATCACCACAAGGTTGCTTTTTTCTAGAAATTGGTTCCCACGATGTAGCAAAAACGTGCCCACACACACACATTTATCCTTATTAGGACTCTTCATTGACCTTAATTTATTTCCAATCATTTCTATAACCTACCCACCATGATATTTGGACCGATCTTTGGTCTTCACAAGGACTACGGGTCTTGAAAAGGTAAGTTTAGAGACGGTCCTTAAAAGGTAACAACAACAACAACAACACGTTTCTGTTCTTTGAATATTTGAGTGAAAAATAGCAATTCAAGCTAATAAGAAACAGAGTTACTGATGGTGGTCAGAGGGTCCGGTGGCGCCGATGTATGGCAGCCCCACCTCTGTTAGTGTGCCCCAGGGCAGCTGTGGCTACAGTGTAGTTTGCCATCATCAGTGTGTGAATGTGAGTGTGAATGGGTGAATGTCTGTTAGTGTAAAGCGCTTTGGGGTCCGGAGGGACTTGAAAAAGCGCTCTATAAGTTCAGTACCATTTAACATTTACCATTTATGCCTGTTTCAGCCAACCAACCATTGTCTGTTAGCAAAATATCTCAGATCATGTAAGCTCAATTTCAAAGGTTGGTGTGCAAGGTGTGGTTTTGACCAGTTTTTTGGGCTTTTTGAGTTTTTTTATGTTTATTTTTTTCTGCTTTTTTGACTGATTCTTTTGACTCATTCTACCTGCCCCACCAGAAGAGGTTAAAGGGATGTTTGTCTCATCCTAAATCTCACAGATCTGCAGCTGATGCAAAGGGTAAATGATTTCCAAGACGTTCTGTTATAAAAGTGCTTGAGTGCAACTTTTTTCACA